GTGTGTGTGTGTGTGTGTGTGTGTGTGTGTGTGTGTGTGTGTGTGTGCGTGGGTGAATGTCTGAAGTGTGAAGTGCCTTGGGGTCCAAGAGGACTTGATAAGGTGCTATATAAGTTCAAGCCATTACCATTACATGTGGGGACTAACTGGTACATATAGGGACCTACACCTAGTCCCCATTTGGGGAAATGCCATCGGTGGGTTGGGGGTTAGGTTTAGGACCATGGTGTTAACTGAGTTTAGGTTAGGTCTAATGTCAGGTATGTACCTGTGAGGTCAGGGTTGGGGTCAGGGGTCAGGGTAAGGCTGTAGAAATGAAAGGAAGTCAATAAAATGTCCCCATAAAAACAGCTGTACTAGTCAGTGTGTGTGTGTGTGTGTCAGCTGACCTCTGACCCTGCAGCAGAACAGTTGATCAGGTTGTTATTGGGGTTGGCGATCCAGAAAGTAGAAGATGCACTGTTAATAATGAAAATGAATGAGTTATGTTTTTGTTTCACCAGTCAGGTGGACACAAAGACAGAAAATGATCAAACGGTTTCATTTTGCTGCATCTCTGCTCCAACTTTAACCCTCTGTGATAAATCCTAACCTGAGCAGAGGAACAGGACATGGACGAGGACAACAGGACATGTATGAGGACAACAGGACATGTACGAGGACAACKGGACATGTATAAATCCATTCATCCAGCCATAATCTATACCAGTTTCTTCCTTTCAGGGTTGTGGGTGCCCAAATCCAGCAGTCACATTGTGAGGGGTGGGGTACACCCTGGACAGATCTCCAGTCCATCACAGGGACACATAGAGACAAACAAGATAGACAACCATTCCCTCCATCACTCATACTAGGGAGAATTTAGAGCTAATAAAACAGATTCAGATCTTGGTAGATGCTTGATAAAATGACAAACGACCTTGATCAAATCATAAAACATGCAAAGTTCACCAAGGGTCAGAAGAGAATCCCACCTTCACAGGTCAAACAAGATGTCAGCAGCAGAGTGTTYACAGGTCTGGGTACTAATCAGCCATTGTTTAAGATGAGAGCAGAATATTTTCTGTGTGTTGATGTCTCTGATTGTTGTCGGAGTGCTATTCCATTCCTGAGAAGCTTTAACAGGAAGCTGACTGACTAAAAACACTTGTTCTAAGTGGGATAAAACATTGACCTCTGGACACTCAAGTGATTCTGTGTGGATGTTCTGAGACTGAGGTGGGGCCATCCCATGCAGGCATTTGTGTATTTAACAAGACTGTCCCAACTTAGACGACTGAGAAGGAGAAGAGAGAGAGAGAAAGAGAAGACTCTTGGAAGAGTGGATATAGGCCTTAGCAGCTTGAATGGATGTTGAATTAGTAATAAATTGTAATATTTTCACTCTGTCCTCTTGTGTCTCTCTATTGTACAGCACTATGGTTGGCCTTGTGCTGTTTAAAGTGCTTTATAAATAAAAGTGGTGTGATGTGGTGTGGTGTGGTGTGGTATGGCATAAATTGGAAATTAGCTGAATTAAATTTGACTTTTTTTACAGGTTTGTTTTACATGTGACCTAAAYTTGAGTTTGGAGTCCAGATGAATGCCCAAATATCTGTATTCTTGAACTCTTTGTAATTGTTCTCCTGACACCATAATACCTGCATTACTTTATGTGATTTAGTGAAAAACATATGTACAGATTGGGAAACATTGAGATGTAAACAGCACTGATTTAACTCATCTGTAACTTTGACCATTTGTGAGTTTGGCAGCAACCTCAGTTTTTGAGGATCTGTGTGCATACAAAACTGTGTCATCAGCATATGTTTGAATATTAACATCTCAGCATATCAATGGCAGGTCATTAACATACATGCATCATAGGACAGGGGCTAATATGGGGCCCTGCAGCAGGCCAGTCATCACAGAGAGAGGTTCAGACTGATTATCAGCAATGTGAACAGTGTGTGCGTGCTGAGAAACATAAGAATGAATTATTTTATGAATTTGACCAATAGGATCTGGTGGTTCACTGCATCAAATGCCTTTCTAAGGTCAACAAAGACTGCCCCTACAGTGTTATCACTAAAGTGATAACTTGATCTTCTCAGTTAAATTACAGTTAGCTGACTAGATTGAATGGGTTTGTCAGAGTTCAAACTGAAGTGGGTGAAGATGAAAGGAGCTATTGATTAAATGATCTGTAATTTGTTCACATATCCCCTTGGATTTTAGACCCTACAGGTAAAATACTGATACTGATACTGATAACTGAAAGCTCTGCCTCCCGTTCTACTTTTACAATCTCTAAGAAGCACAAGCAGAGTGGTGGGAAAAGGCTTTGCCTCATTCATGATTTCATATTTTTCCAAACAAAGAKCCAGATGATATCAAATCCTTGTTAAGGTACCTGAAGACCTCAGTCCTCTCATGGACTGGACCCAAGTCCTTCAGAACAAACCTGTGAATCGTCTGAAGACTATGACCAGAGTCTCAATCACTTTGCACAGCTTCTGTGGGTTGTTGAGTGGGGACAGATAATATTCTGATTTAACATTTTTAATGAAAGCACATTTATTTCTTAGTTGCCTGAAAATGAACAATATTTCATCAGTTGAAACTGTTAAAATTTTATGATTTGATTGAATGTAATTTACAATCCTGTATTAAAAACATTGTTTGTAGTCTTGATATTAATGAAAAAACTTCTAAAGATGTCTATTTAAAAATATGACCAGGTTAACTTTCTCAGGAAAGTATAATGTTTGGCAGAGATGGGATGTGGAGGACTGATGGTTGTAGTTTTTGCTGATTGTTGGGTTGATGTTTGTGTTTTTGCTGAGGGGCAGACATTATTAGCTTTATCTTCTTTCTGCACCTGTTTCATCCAGTGTTTCATTTACTGTGTTTTTTATGATTTTTTGTTTTGTTTCTTTTAATGAATGAAATAAATAAATCAAATATAAAAAGTAAAAGACATAAAGGTCCAGTAGAAAAGGCTGCAGCAGTCTGGGTGGTACCTGCAGTCCTGGCGGGGGTTTGCCACGTATCCGGGGTACGCTCCTTCTGAGATCCCTCGACACATTTTGCTGTCTCTGTCTGATGGCAGCAGYGTTCCTGCTCTCACCATCAGACCCAGGCAGTGGACAAACGAGTTCCTCTCCTCTGCACCGTCCTCTGTGAAGAAACAGTGTCCCAGTGTGTCGTAGCCCACCACATCCTTCACCTGGGGGCAACAGGTGATGGGTTAACTTGATTTATGGTGGGACCCTGTGATGAACCCCCCCACCACAGGTTTGGTATTAAAAGAAGAGAAAACCTGTGAACTGACCAGCAGTCCATTGGTGCCGTGGATGGTGAGGCAGCGGGAGAAGGAGTGATGGATGGACACGTCACTGACAGATGTTGGTGGGCTGTGGCCTCCTCTCTCATCCACATCTCCATTCATGTGGAAGTGAACTGGATAGTGACCCATTGATTGCTGGCCCATGTGTTGAAGCTCCACCCCTGATATATGAACCGCTCTGAATCCCCGCTCCACCTGGATATTAGAGAGGAACTGACTGACTCAGGAACAGTTTGGATCAGGTCTATAGGTGACCCACTTAATACCAGCAAACCTTCAAATGTCCACCAAAAGGGTCAAAGGTGAAGAACTTGCAGGCTTCATGGCCATAGCAGCTGGGCTCAGTCTCACCGCGGAGCAGGATGTTCCGGGTCAGCAGGCCCACCTCGGCCCTCATGTCCACCCCATCTACCTCCTCACCCATGTGGATGAACTGGGCGTGACCTGAACACACAGGACAGAGGGGTAACCATTTAAAACTGGTCTAAAACTGAATGAAACCTTCAAAGTTTTTGTTTGAGGAACTGATCTCAGACACTCAGATAATATTTCCCTTCGGTTTGATTTCACTACAACAAATCAGAACCTGCTTTAGTATAAATGAACAGTTCTAGCAGAATAAAACCTGTTCTTTAGTCAGAATGACCCCTGAGACCTGTGTTGAAGTGGACGTCTAGTAGATCTGATGATGATGATGATGTTAAATGAGGAAGTATGTCTGGATGGTTTTTCACTTTCATGTGAAAGCATGTTAGTGACATGTTACATGTTAATCCTGAGGATTACTTGAGTATATGTGGTTTATCAGGTGCAGGGACAATATTCAAATTCAGAAAGAAATCGATTTTAAACTCAGGACTCTGAGAACAAACAGATCAGGAAAGTATCTGAGAGGAATCTTACCTTTGACTCTAACCTGGTTCGGTTGGCAGTGTGGACAGGGCAGCAGAGTAAACTCTTCAGCTTGGTGCATGGAGTAATCTGTGCTGGCTACAACCACCTGATCCTTGGARCCCCAACCCACCGGCTGGTCTGCAAGGTCCAGGATACTACTGTCCAACAACACGTCCACTGAGACAGAGACCTGGGGACGGACTGCAGAGGGACAGGAAGGTTACAGGACACACAGAAAGATAAGGAGAGAAAAAACAACAAGTTTATATGTTTACATCTGTTTATCCTATCATTACAAACACAAACAGGAAGTGCTGGACTTACCCAGCTTTCCACACAGAAAGCGGACTCTGTAGTTCTGACACAGGCCATGAGACTGGTCCTGGTTCCGGCAGACAAAGCCATAGTTCTTGTCATTCTTGTAGATGGTATCTCCTGTCTGGTTGCARGGTACACCATCACGAGTTTCAGCCTGAACACAAGAATAAATCAGTCGTCTCTTCATCAAACAGAAGCTCTGATGAAGCCTTGAGCTAACAGCAGGTCTGAGCTGGACCAGGAACAAAACACACTATGATTATTTTAAACTCTTTATTCTGAAATATTTATTTGTTTACTTCAGACTGCTGTTATTTTTCCATCAAAACTAAGGCCAACTTGATGAAGAGTTGTAGYAACAAACCAAAGACCTACATATTGATCAGGACTGGTAACAGACCAAAGACTAATTTATGTTATAACCTTTTTATTTATTTAAAACAGGGACAATATACAGTCTGCATTGGCCAGAAAAGGAGAGATGCACTGTATCAGGTTATAGCTCTGGGTGCTCGTTTCCACCTGTAGTCCCTGACCCCGCCCACACAATATCAAATAAAAAAGAAGAAAAAAATCAAAAGACATCATAAATATACAATACAAAGGCATATAATCATAATCAATATACAATCAATTTATAATCATCCATGCTCCCAGAAATACGTCATCATAAACACCACTCATGGAAGAAAAAATAAAATAAAGATAAAAAAGATTAACCACTCAATAAAAATCATTTCAGGCTATTTCATTTCAATTTATGCAAACAAAACAGACAATTTATGAATCAGTACTGTAACAGAACAAAGATTAACCTGTTTAGGTAACATTTAAGACCTACTATAATATATAATGATATAAGCTTTCGTGTACAGCAGAACAAAGTAATAAATATATTTATGAAGAGTTACAAACAATAACTTCTTACATGGCTAATAATTGTAAAACCCTCCTTTTATGACAATAATTTTTAGTTCCCTTGTAAAGTCCTTTTTCTGTGGGACCAGGACACATCCTTTCTGTGAGCTTTCAGATTATTATTTATTTTATTCAAGTTTGTTATTTTCTTTCCAACAGTGAACACTTTCATGTGAACAAAGAGCCAAGGTTTACCTGGATGTCCAGTGGACTGCTGCACACCTGGTCTGGATAAGACTTCTGCAGGTCAGAGAGCTTCTCCCAGTCTCCAGACCCCCTTTCATCATCCCTGTCAAACCAGTCTGTCCACTCTGTCTCTGTGGGGACACAAACACACCAGAACTGCTCAGGTGGACCACAGTTAAAGCCTTAARGTAGATTACTCTGAACCCATTTTGGGCTTCATATGGGTTTCTGATGCAGTCAGTGAGGATTCACAGATGAGTTCTGTCCTCCAGGACCGCCCTCTGGTCAGTTGGACCTTCTCTTCTGAGTCCATGGAGTCTGCAGGTTCTAGGTCTTCTCCAGGTACTTCATCAGTTTACCCACAGTTCAAACACGTACTTTAAGTAAACAGGAGACCCCAAAGTCACCTTATATCTCAGAGTGGACCCTCTGATGGGACCTGTCCAAGGTGTACCCCTCTCCCACCCAACGATAGGCCCCCAGGCCCCCACAACCTTGAAAAGAGAGAAATGAGTCCAAACTATTGTCAGCAGGTGTTTATAGTTCAACCCTGAGCCTTCTGTAAGGTCACTGCTGATGTTGTGTTGACACACACCAGCATGTCTGACTGCCACACATGCAGGAAGAATTAGATTTTCTTTTTATAAAATAAATGATGACTTGTTGTCCAGAGTTACAGCAGGTAAAATAAGTGTTGAACACGTCACCATTTTTCTCAGTAAATATATTACTAGAGGTGCTAATGACATGAAATTTTCACCAGATGTTGGTAACAACCCAAGTGATCCATACATACAAAGAAATCAAACCATAAATGTCCAGAAATGAAGTTATTTGTAATAATGTGGAATGGCACAGGGAAAAAGTATTGAACACACTTACTGAAATTTATCTAATACTTTGTAGAAAAGCCTTTGTTGTCAACGACAGCTTCAAGACACCTCCTGTATGGAGAAACTAGTGGCATGCATTGCTCAGGTGTGATTTTGGCCCATTCTTCCACACAAACAGTCTTCAAATCTTGAAGGTTTCGTGGACCTCTTCTATGAACTCTGATCTTTAGTTCTTTCCATAGATTTTCTGTTGGATTCAGGTCAGGTGATTGGCTGGGCCATTCCAGCAGCTTTAGTTTCTTTCTCTGAAACCAACTGAGAGTTTCCTTGGCTTTGTGTTTGGGCTCATTGTCTTGCTGAAATGTCCAGCCACGTTTCATCTTCATCATCCTGGTAGATGGAAGCAGATTTTTATCAAGAATGTCTCTGTACATTTTTCCACTCATCCTTCCTTCAATTATTTGAAGTTTGCCAGTACCAAATGCTGAAAAACAGCCCCACACCATGATGTTCCCACCTCCAAACTTCACTGTTGGTATGGTGTTTTTGGGCTGATGTGCAGTGCCATTTGACCTCCAAACATGATGTGTATTCTGGCATCCAAACAGTTCAATGTTGGTCTCATCTGACCAGACTATATTCTCCCAGTATTACACAGGCTTGTTTAAATGTTGTGCAGCAAACTTTAAAGGAGCTTCAACATGCTGTTTCTTCAGCAGTGGAGTCTTGCGTGGTGAGCGTGCATACAGGCCATGGTGGTTCAGTGCATTACTTATTGTTTTCTTTGAAACAATCGTACCTGCTAATTCCAGGTCTTTCTGAAGCTCTCCACAAGTGGTCCTTGGCTCTTGGACAACTCTTCTGATAATTCTTTTCACTCCTCTGTCAGAAATCTTGTGAGGAGCACCTGGTCGTGGTCGGTTTATGMTGAAATAATGTTCTTTCCACTTCTGAATTATGGCCCCAACAGTGCTCACTGGAACCTTCAGAAGTTTAGACATTCTTCTGTAACCGATGCCATCATTATGCTTTGCAACAATAAGGTTGTGAAGGTCTTGAGAGAGCTCTTTACTTTTACCCATCATRAGATGGTTCTTGTGTGATACCTGGCCATCATTTGGGACTGAACCAGCTGATATTAACTTGCACTGACAAGGGGCAGGCTTGTTTTCTAATTACTGAGAGAGTTCAGCTGGTGTCTTGTCTTTCCATGCCTTTTTACACCTCCCTTTCTTCATGTGTTCAATACTTTTTCCCTGTGCCATTCCACATTATTACAAATAACTTCATTTCTGGACATTTATGGTTTGATTTCTTTGTATGTATGGATCACTTGGGTTGTTACCYACATCTGGTGAAAATTTCATGTCATTAGCACCTCTAGTAATATATTTACTGAGAAAAATGGTGACGTGTTCAATACTTATTTTACCTGCTGTATCTGCAGCTGTTTATCTACATTAGTTACGAACAGATGTTTTTAATTTCTTGATAAGTTAAAGCAGTGTTTACTGAGTGAATGGTTTGTGTAAGATGACTGTAATGTGCTACAGTTAGCTCCTACAGGGACTGAGTTTCAGAGGAGTTACCTTGYACCCACTGGCTGCTGGTGGTGATGGTGAAGACTTCACCTGACCTCGATGGAAAAACACCAGAACTCTGAGCCTGTGATGAAGCTTTGGATCCTGGAAAACACATATTAGAAAACTGTAATTAGCCTGCTGACAGGAAACAACAAGCTTCTCTCACAGCTGGTTTTATTGACTGAGTTAAATTAAAAAAGAAACAATGATTCGTCTGTGCAAACAAACTGGTTTCTGTTGATTCCCACCTTGATAATCTGAGTAATCCTCCACAACAGAAGAAATGTCACCTTTTTTAACTATAAATGTCCACAGATGGCTGCAGAGAAAAACAAACAGCTGTTAATGCAAAGGTCAAAGGTCACACACAACAGAAWACGACACAAACAGGACATGTTGTAAAGGAACACTGTACACAGAAGCAACACATCCAGAAATGTGTGGAAACTGGAGATCATGAACAATAGAGACCATCAAGGCTCTAACGACCTGTTGTTTGGCTGATGGTCCTCTTTTGTCATGWCAAATGTATTTAAATAACACATTAAAAACAGGTACAAAACTGCACCAAATAATAAAAACAGAGTATCAAACAATACTTCAATTAAAAGCCAAAGAATAAAAACGAGTTTTAAGAAGTGATTTAAAATGATCCAGGCTGTGGGCAGATCTAATCTGGASAGGTAAGTTCTTCCATAAGATACGAGCGGCAGCAGAAAAAACCTGATCTCCATRCCTCTGAAGTCGAGTCTGAGGAACCGTCAGTAATAACTGGTCATTTGGTTCTGGGCACGGACCGAAGTTTTATAAGATCCTGAAGATAAGGGGGGCTAGCCCATTTAAAGCTTTATTAATAAAAGAATCTTGAAATCTGTTTGATAAAAAACAGGCAGCCACTGTAAAGATGCCGGTATAGGCCTTATATGGTCATGCTTCCTGGTTTGGTTTCCTTTTGCTTGTGAGCATCCTGTTTGTCCACCATGTGGAGGCGGAGCTTCTAAGGCTGAGTTCACCTGAAACTCATCAGACTGTTAGAGGAGAGACGAAACATTTCACTAAAGAAGAACCCGTCCAGACGACCCACTGACTTTAAACTGGAGATTAGTTTTTTTACATGCAGAGAAAAATATATCAAATAAAATCAGTTTATGTGAAGCAGCATTAAAGACATTTTGTTTGGAGTTTTCAACCACAGTAAACATTTCATACAAGTGAAAATGTATGTCAAATTAAAATCTGTCGGTAAAACGCCTGTGGTTGGTGGATCTTGTGTCCTGATGACAGCAGAGTTGCTGTGGAGAGAAGCTGGCGACGACAATCATTAGACAGGAATCCTTCTGTTGCATCATCACTGCAAACATTCACTTCTGTATTTAACAGAATCCACAGTCATCGAGCAAAATAACCTCACTGTCCGCAGAGCCCTTATGAAACCCTCAGAGTTCACTGAAGCCGTTCTGCAGAGCTTCGTTTAATTTCACTGATCTTTAGCACAAGTCCTTTTCTTCTGTCAGGTCAGACCTGCAGATGTGACTAGAACCACAGGACAAGTGCATGTCTGCAGTCCAGTGCAGGAACGTTCAGAGCTCTGTGACAGAAACTGGACATCTATCAGGTCAACACTCAGGTCCTCATGTCTCAGGAACAAGAGACCCTCAGAGGACAGATCTGCAGATGTTGGACAGGAGACAGATGTTTGAGAGAGAAGAACAACAAACAGGAGGAAGCTTCAGGTTCCGTCTCATCTGTGCAGGCAGCTTCACCAACGTTCACACCTGAAACTGTGACTGAAGCAGCTTCACCAACGTTCACACCTGAAACTGTGACTGAAGCAGCTTCACCAACGTTCACACCTGAAACTGTGACTGAATAACTCACCAACGTTCACACCTGAAACTGTGACTGAAGCAGCTTCACCAACGTTCACACCTGAAACTGTGACTGAAGCAGTTTCACCAACGTTCACACCTGAAACTGTGACTGAAGCAGTTTCACCAACGTTCACACCTG